AGATGGGACATCTCTGCTTTGTCTCTGAATGTCCATGTACCTCTCTGTTTCCCTTCACTCCTCCAATCCATCCACTCTTGCATTCACTATCGCTGTTGGCTGAGAGTTGCTTGCACCACCTGCTCAAATGTGCCACATTACCACGATGATGCACATTTTTGTGGGAATAATGGCTTCCACAACCAAAGTAACCTTGATTACTTTGCACCATACAAAAATGCAGATGTTCTTTACTACATTGAACAGAGCAGAGATAGGTATTTCTGTGTAAAAGCCAACATAAGATTTATAAAGCACTAGAGCATCAAGAATGAGCTAAAACAGGATTACACACTAATGCCACTCATAGTAGAAGGCCTCAGAAGTGAATTATAAAGGCCATGTACCTGATGCGAGTTGATATGTATTATTCTGTTGAAACCACTAAATAATTTGGTAAAATATTTCTGTTGTTTGGGGTTGTTTTTAGAAAAGTCAGTGATTTTTGAGGCATTGAGAATAATTTGTGCTATAATTGTTTGAGAATGTAAGCAGGTTTTACTCATGTTTTGTTCTGTCTCTTGAAGGAATGGAGGCCTATACATTCTCCTTAGCCTGGCAGTAATCCCACTTCACTCCATATTCCTCCTCACTCTCTCTTTCTCCTGGTGACCAATAAATTCTTCCATTTCTATAGTAGTCGCTCAGCTTCATTCTTCCTGATAGTCTGATTTCAGCCTTTGGCCAAGTCTCTCCACTTTTGCATGCTGCTGGCACCATCTTAATTCTTTCCTGTTCCTGGCCTAACACTCCAGTGTAACCTGCCTTCCCCTGATAGTTTTTATCTTAGAGCAGCAGCTAGTAATTATCACCATTAGAGGAGGTGAATCACTGTCATTGTTCAGACAGAACTTAGTGGGCTATGTCTACATTGGCACCCTTTTCTGTAAAAGGGATGCTCATGAGACACTTCGGATTGCAAATGCCGTGGGGGATTTAAATATCCCCCGCGGCATTTGCATGAACATGGCTGCCGCTTTTTTCTGGCTCGGGGCTTTGCCGGAGAAAAGCCCCAGTCTAGACGGGATCTTGTGGAAAATAAACCCTAGTAGGAATAAGGGATCTTCCGGAAAAGGGTTTATTTTCCACAATATCCCGTCTAGACTGGCGCTTTTCTCCGGCAAAACCCCGAGCTGAAAAAAAGCGGCAGCCATGTTCATGCAAATGCCGCGGGGGATATTTAAATCCCCCACGGCATTTGCAATCCGAAGTGTCTCATGAGCATCCCTTTTACAGAAAAGGGTGCCAATGTAGACATAGCCCACTAAGTTCTGTCTGAACAATGACAGTGATTCACCTCCTCTAATGGTGATAATTACTAGCTGCTGCTCTAAGATAAAAACTATCAGGGGAAGGCAGGTTACACTGGAGTGTTAGGCCAGGAACAGGAAAGAATTAAGATGGTGCCAGCAGCATGCAAAAGTGGAGAGACTTGGCCAAAGGCTGAAATCAGACTATCAGGAAGAATGAAGCTGAGCGACTACTATAGAAATGGAAGAATTTATTGGTCACCAGGAGAAAGAGAGAGTGAGGAGGAATATGGAGTGAAGTGGGATTACTGCCAGGCTAAGGAGAATGTATAGGCCTCCATTCCTTCAAGAGACAGAACAAAACATGAGTAAAACCTGCTTACATTCTCAAACAATTATAGCACAAATTATTCTCAATGCCTCAAAAATCACTGACTTTTCTAAAAACAACCCCAAACAACAGAAATATTTTACCAAATTATTTAGTGGTTTCAACAGAATAATACATATCAACTCGCATCAGGTACATGGCCTTTATAATTCACTTCTGAGGCCTTCTACTATGAGTGGCATTAGTGTGTAATCCTGTTTTAGCTCATTCTTGATGCTCTAGTGCTTTATAAATCTTATGTTGGCTTTTACACAGAAATACCTATCTCTGCTCTGTTCAATGTAGTAAAGAACATCTGCATTTTTGTATGGTGCAAAGTAATCAAGGTTACTTTGGTTGTGGAAGCCATTATTCCCACAAAAATGTGCATCATCGTGGTAATGTGGCACATTTGAGCAGGTGGTGCAAGCAACTCTCAGCCAACAGCGATAGTGAATGCAAGAGTGGATGGATTGGAGGAGTGAAGGGAAACAGAGAGGTACATGGACATTCAGAGACAAAGCAGAGATGTCCCATCTCCTGCCTGACAGCCCTTGGGCTTTTAAGCAGGATGAAAGTCTGAGGACAGGAAAGCATCAAGTGGGAGTAGAGAGAAAATCCCATAGTCCGACTTTTCAGACAATAACATGGTATCTTCTTGCACTAAAAATATCCTTCCAGAGGCAATTATTAGGAAGACAAAGGCAATAATATTAGAGAGTTTGATTATTAGAAATACAGATAGTTGGGTTTGTAATGACGGGAGAGCTACATAGTGAATTGCCTGCCAGATGTGAAAGCAGCAGATCTCTTGAGACATATAGGTAGCCTTGTATAGAATGCTGGGGAGGAGCCAGAAGTTATGGAACATGTGGGTACCAGGGATATAGGGAAAGGGAGAAGAAAAGTCCTGGAGGCCAAATTTAGGTTGCACTATACAAGAATAAGGATGAGCGTTGGATAGAAATTAAAAGGAACTGTCACAAGGGCTAAATGCCTGTAAGCAACATGGAGACTATTTAAAAATACTGTAACAGGTTCAGGCGAAATGCACAGCCTGTATCAGATGACAATAAGATGACCGAAAGAATAAAACCATGGCTAAACAGCATGCACTAGATGCAAAAGGGCATTAGATGCAAAAGGGCATGCTTTAAAATTTGGAAGCCAAATCTTAGTGAGGATAATAGGAAGGTGCACAAACTCTGGCAGGATACAAGTTCAATACGGAAAGCCAAGAAAGAATTTGAGGTGCAACTTTCTAAAGATGCAAAATCTAATAATAAGATTTTTATAAAAAAATAAGTTAGAAGTTAGAACCCTGTCAAATAGGAAGTGAAGCCAGTAGATGACTACACTGTTAAAGAAGATAAAACAAGTGCAGAGAAGCTAAATTAATTCCTTGCATCAGACTTCACAGCAGAGGATTTGGGGGAGATATCCTCAACATCAGGGCTGGCCTTCTAAGGTGATAAATCTGAAGTATGATCCTACATTGATGTATAATTGAAGAAATTTCAGAACAAACTGATAAATTAAACAATAATAAGTCCTCAGGACCAAGTGATATTAACCCAAGAGTACTGAAGGAACTCAAAAATGAAATTGCTACTAACTGCAATATCAGTGGTCAGGCAGATTTTTTTTAAACCAAAATACTGTTTAATCTGAGTAGCAAGAACAAAGCATAACAAAAGAGATACAGGATTTTAGCAATCTATATACATATCCGTGAGCAATAATTTTTGCTGTGAGCAATTATCTATATGCATATCTGTGAGCAATTGCTGTGAGCAATAGTCTATATGCATATCTGTGAGCAATAATAAGGCCACTGGTGAGCAATAATTTTTGACGGAGGGGGCACTCCAAGAATTTGGTAAGTGGTCAAGGGATACACACTTTGGCTATGTCTAGACTACAATGATCTATCGGAAAAAGGTATGCAAAATGCGCTCCGCAATTTGAGTGCCTTTTTCCGACAGTTTTTTCAGAAGAGGCTTTTCTGAAATTTGGCCCATCTACACTAGGCCAAATTTTGGAAAATCTTCCTCTTTCAGAAGAGCCCTTCTTCCTCAAGGATGGGAGGAGACAGGGCTTCTGAGAGAGCATGTCTGCTATTCCACAAAAAAAGTGGAAGAGCAGATGCATTCCCTAGACACAACAGAGTTTTTCCAGGATACTAGAGGTATCCCGGAAAATCCCCATAGTCTAGACATAGCCTTTCATTATATTAATGGAGGAGGTCTGGGATGGAGAGTGGGTACAGAAGGGAGCTTGGGGTAAGGGATGGGGGCACAGGAGGGTGTGTGGGATCTGGGAGTGGTTTGGATGAAGGAGGGGGTTGTGACCTGGTGCAGGGAACTGGGGTAAAGGAGAGGATGTAGGGTTTTGGGTTGTGACCTAGGGCAGGAGGGGTTGTGATCTGGGAAAGGAAATTGGGTGCAGAGTCTGGGAGGGAATATGGGTGCAGGAGTGGGGACAGAGGGTTTGATTTATGTGTGGTAGCGGAGCAGGAGTGGGGAAGCAGGGAGCTAGTGGGAGGCAGAGGCTTGGGTGTCAGAGGCTTTGGCTGGGAGACATGTATCTGGGCGACTCCCAGCTAATAGCACAGTAGGTTTCCTGCGTTCTATGCGTCAGCAGACTGCTCAGAGCAGTTGGCTATGGGGCCCCAATGGGAGCTGCAAGATTGTGCAGGAGGTAAGGGAAAGCATGCAGAACCTTTCCCCCCCCCAAGCCTAGGATTGCAGCTGTTCATAGACAAACAAGACCTCGCAGCTGGCTTTTCAGTGTGGTGGAATGGTGTTCTGCAGCAGAGCACCTGATTGAGGCTCCTACTGCACCTACGAGCAAGCTCCAGCAGTTTAGATAATTTTAGATAATCTTCTCCTTCTTAAAAGGATTTTTACATATACATGATCATGTAATGGGTGAATTCTGATTTGATGTATTTACATCAAAAGAATCGTAATGAAATTGAGGTGCTGGGTACAGGACCAAAGGGTACAGGACCAAAGGTCCCTTAAAATAGCAACTCTGCATGCCCAACTCTTCTAAAGTACTATAACAACTAAGCTCTTGTGTCCAGGTCTCCTTCAAGGTAGTCCATACCAATCCAGAGTGCTGATATTGTGGGAGTGGAATACTGTTTAAGGTTAAGCTGTCTAGTAAAATCCTTTCACATTAGGTTTGTGAACTGTAGGGTCTCTGCCAAATTGTTCAAGAATCAAATTGTAAAAACACACTACAGTGGACTATTTGCACTTTTAAAACCAAAAGTATACTTTGTGGCCTAAGATCAATTGGCAACTGTGCATATTATTTCACACTTCCTGTTCTACCTGAAACAATCTCCTTCCTGTGTGTGCCCAGTTTCCTTAATTCCTTGCTTCATTTCTCTCCTCAATACCATCTTCTTTTTGCTCTCTCCTTCATAGATCTCTCCAAAATGGTGGCATTTATAGGAATTCCCATTGATATCCATGACAAACCTTACAACAACAACAAAAAAGGTTTCCCAGTGCCATTGTTCACAGGGCATGACCCAAAACCTACTGACATCTTGAAAGACGGTTTCCTGTGTGGACTGGTTCTCCCTGCCTCCCTCACCCTCCACACTGATGCCTCTCTATCGGAGCCAGCAGCACCAAAACAGAGGGAGGAGGTTGCTGGGAACAGATCGATTTGCATTTTAGCAAACACCAACAAGGAAAGAAACCAGCATGGAACTTCCTTCTCCAGCAGACTCCATGTTGCATTCCTCTTGAATTAAGTTTAATGTGGGAGTGAGAGGAATAATCTTCCGAAGAGTCTATTTCAAAGGTTCGCTGGTCTATAAAGGAAAGTGACTTCTTCTTCAAGTAATCTTTTGTGTAAGATGACAAAGGAACTCAGGATTTTGTGGGAGATCTTGACCTCCACCTCCTTGGGAGGTAGATTGATAAGGAAATTATTTTGAACAAAGGCAAGAGCTTGTATGAAGACTGAGCTACTAGAAAGCATTCTTCACTTTTATTTGCTTGTAACCAATTCTAACTATCTTAATTCTGTCTCCATTTGTTAAGAAATGTGTTTAATTTTTAATCTGACCCTTCCCAGTGCTGTATTTTATTTAAAGCAAATGTTCATACAAATGTGGCAAGCCATTGTGTACTGTATCTTTAAAGAAAAAACACACCTTAACATTTCTTTAAATGGTCTAGGAGAGGGCTGGAGACTGCAGACCACACAGTTCTGGGAAAACGTGGAACTGGGGGAGGGTTGGTGTTATCTTGCCAGGTGTCACCAGTGCTGGTGTACTTTCAAGTGTGACAGGGGAGTAACAAGCAAGCTGCTGAAATCAGAATTGCCGAGTCGGGACTGCTGAAAACACGCACTCTCAGTGAGAGGTTGTATGCTGACTGGGAGCATCCAAACAAGGAGACTACAGCAGCAGCGCATTTTAAAGCACTGGCTATAAGGCAAGTAAAGACACAGCCCCTCTCTGCTCTGAATTTTACCCTAGAACACGATTGCACTTCTGTGAGGCAGATAAACATACCGAATGGTAAACATACCACAGAGAGGGACAGGCTAAGTTTTGACTTATGGTTAGACTCCTCAGTCCATACAGATATATCGAGATAAGTGCCCTGATATTACAGAGTTGTTAAGCATTTGTCTTTGGGTGAACATGGTGGCAGAACTGCAGGTGCTTAACCCATCTGCAAATCAGGCTTCTCATAAAAATGGATTTAAGTGACTAACTTTAAGCATCCAAATTTGCAAAGGCTAACCTAAGTAACTTTCCCAAGTCATACAGTAAGACAGTGGCAGAGATATTATAATTTATAATTTGTTTTTGGAAGTGCTCTCAATGCACACAAAGAGCCACAATCACCTCCAGAAAACAGAGCTCCAGAATCTTCACTCCCTGCTTAAAACTCTAGAAAGATGGATTCCCACAGAATAAAAAAAGACAAAATGAACTTAAAACAGAATCATGTCATGGCAAGAGGTGGTATTACAAATCAGGATTAAATAATTAAAGAAGCACTCCTGAAAGAGAAATATAATCTGTAGTTACTCACCTACGATGAGTAAGAAAACTACCACTGACATGTCCTGAGCCATCACATCCTGGAGTTGGACATGACATACCTTCCGTCTTCACTGACTTCCAAGAGAACTGTGAGCCATTTAAGTACCCATCCTTTTGCCTTTTGGCAGCTAGAGGGCACCCTGATGCACTGCGATGGGATGCATACTTTCCAGTTATATGACCCTGACCATCACAACCGGGAACTGGACATCTGGATAGCAGATAGATGAGATAAACTTTATTGTCTTGCCATCATATACCTGGTAGCCTCTACAACAAAGTCAAAATAAACCTGACATGAAAAGAAAAGAACAATCATGCTCTATGGACTTAAAACAAATCACCAAAGACACCCCAATGGAATAGTCAAACATGTCAAATCAGGAGATCTTTGTTAATCAAAAAAAGGTTTGCATCTCTCTGGCTGTTAAAAAAATAACCATGCTAATCAGTAGCAAAGTCGTAGGGTTTTTACTTCCACTGCATACTGGAGAGAAAGTGGCAGGGTGCATCTTTGAAATGAAGGTGTCCATTACAGTAAATAGCACACTGGGATTGAAGTGATAGCCACTGAGCTTCAGTGACTGAATAGTGACATTTTAAAACTCTAAATATTTAAAATCCTACTTATCATAGTTCTATGTGCCTTTTAAGAATGCGTATGAAATCTAAAGGTGTCTGACTTTAAAATTATGGTAGTTATAAAGACTTAGATATCAATCAAACCTTTGCCATAGTTAGCACTTCAAAGGGACACTGTCAGAATAAAAAATCATGAGCTAAAGTCTCAGAAATTATAACTCCCCACAACTCCTATGGCAGCAAATCATGAAATGTGGCAAGAGCTCTTAGCACTCACTAGCTATTCAAGGCTATTACAATCTCGCAGGATGGGGCCCAGAGACACCAATGAAAGGCGTTTTGGGTGCCCATAAGGTGCTCACCATTGCTCAGAATTTGCCCTCATGTACATTTAGCCCCATTTATTTTTATGAAACAACATGCATTAGTAGGAGCAGTGTAGAGTAATAAACACTGAGTGTACTTTTCAGCATGTTGCTGCTTGATTACATTTTACAATTTGTGCAGTTTGGGCAATCAGAAGAGTAGTTGGTTTCGTTTTCTGGTTATCCTGCACTAAAGCAATGCTGCAATGATTGAAGTCTGATTCTGAAAGGTGCTGAGCAGCCTCCACATAGACTGATGTTAATGGCCACTGAGGTTATTCCACATTTCACAAGGAGAAGCATGGGCCAACATTTTCCAAATTGGGTGCCTAAAGTTAGGGATTTGTTTCAATTTGTAGGCACCCAAATAACTGGCCTGATTTTCAGAGGTGATCATT